CAGAGGCACTGAGAGGATTCACCAGAGACAGAGTGGGGAGCAGAACAGGTAGATCGAAGTACACTACTGAGGGGAGCAGCTGGCGGATCAGGAGAGGTCTGCCATGCCATGTGGATCACCTCCCAGGCAGGCGGGGATCGAACTCCTGTGGAAGTGGCTTTAGCTTCGTAGTGCAGTGCTTTAACCCGCTGCGCCACCAGAGATCGAAGTCCTGTGGAAGTGGCTTTAGCTTCTTAGTGCTGTTTTTTTTTTTTTAAAGATTTATTTATTTATTCATACAGAACTGCAGTACAGGCCAGAGATGGGGAGGGTGAGAGGATTCACCAGGGACAGAGTGGGGAGCAGAACAGGCAGATGGACGAAGTACACTGCTGAGGGGAGCAGCGGCCGGGTCAGTAGAGGTCTGCCACGCCATGTGGATCACCTCCTCACCTCCGGGGCAGGCGGGAAACAAACTCATGCAGAAGTGGCTTAAGCTTCTTAGTGCAATGCTTTAACCAGCTGCGCCACCAGGGAGGGCCTTAAAACACCACCTTACTGTGGACTGCATTCCCATATATACATGTTTCTCTGTACTAATTCTTGTATTCCATTAGTTAGTCCATTAGTCCATTTGTTTCTGCTAAAATCACAATTTTATCTTACTTGTAACTAACTAAATATTATTATATTTTATCTGGTAAGGCAAATTCCTATGTTCTTTTTCATGATTGCCTTGGCTTCCTTGTGCTCTTTTAGAATCAGCTTGTCAATACTGGACAGAGACATCTCTTTGGGATTTTGATTGGGTTTGCATTGACTTTGGAATAATCTGGGAAGGGAGAGTTTGTTAAGATGCTACTATTGGGTCATTCTACCAAGAGCAGATGTGTACTTAAGTGAAATTTTATATTTTTCTTTTTATAGGAATTGCATATTTTTTCTTGAGTTTATTCCCAAGTGTGGCTCTTAAAAATAGAGTAGTTGCTTTTTTAAAAGTAATTTGAGGGCCCTGCCTGTTCTGCTCCCCGCTTTGTCTCTGGTGAATCCTCTCACCCTTCGCATCTCTGGCCTGTACCCCAGACCCCAGTTCTATATGACTAAATAAATAAATCTTTTTTAAAAAAAGTAATTTAAAAAATTGTGGTGACCTGTCCTCATTCCAGGATACCCAACTCTTCTTGCCTTGTGTTGCGTGCCCTCAGAGCCCTCATCTTAGGATAGTTGTCTTCTTAATTAAATTTTCTAATTATTGCTGATATATAGTAAAGCTACTGATTTCTGTTTATTGATTGTGTACCACGTGGGTTAGCACCCTGGCAAGGGGATTGAACTCATGCCACAGTGGCTGCTGATAGCTTGATAGAGCTGAGATTTTTTTTTTAAAAGATGATATTTTATTCTCTTGCACATATGAAATTCTGTTTGAACTCATCAAAGTGAATTTATAGGTGTGCTAAACTATCCAATGAGAAGATTGGGTTAAGTAGGACAAGTTCCCTACTTGGTTTTCTTTTTTTTTTTTATTACAAAGTTTATTTTTACATCATTTTGCACATTTTTTTTCCATCTCGATTGTAATCCCCGCAGGTTTCCCATCACCAAATC